GACCTGTATGCCGAAGTAGAAGGGGTAATTACAATTTGATTATTCAACATATCTACGCTATTTACAATTTTAAGATCCTTATGATTAATAATTAAACTACAATTAAGAATTAGGAAATAAATAAAAGCTGAATTTGATAAAGAAATTTTTGTTGAGTCAATGTTTGAAAAATCCGAAGGAAAGCATTTAGAATTGCAGAGTTCAGTTCTATAGTGATTTTGATTACAAATTGCAGTAGATGAATTCATGAATTTAAGAGCTGTGATTAGCGCGTGATTACGTAATAATATGTAATTGGAATTTTCCGATTTTGCACCAATGGAGTTGCATAATGAATTATCGTTATCCAGCGGAATAAGCGCTTTATATAACTTTTAGTAGTTGCGACTACAAACTCTTTGTCATAATGGGATGAGGAAATTGCTTTTCCCAAATGCGATCTTGAAAATAGGTCGGTAAAACCATGTCTTCTCCTGCTAAGTGTTTTATAGTAAAATTAAACGGTAAAAGACGATCTACTCATCTTGTTAAGCGACTGTGATAAGTTTTGTTTCCGTGATTTGGTGATAAAGCCGAAAAGAGGGCTTTACGGTCGGTAATAATTTCAAATTCGGATTCGTAAAGATAATTTTTATAATGTTCTACCGCCCATACAACTTCTAGTAATTCCAATTCGTTCGTTGAGTATTTAGATTCGTGTGGGTTTAAAAATCGTGAAGCAAACGATACTATTTTCCAGTCATTCCCGTGGAGTTGTTCCCAAGTGAAGCGTCTGTTTTTACTCTCGTAGAGCGGTTAACATCGAAATGTGTGTTTTCTGTAAGATTAACTATTTCTAGTTTTATTTTCTCGGACGCTTTTGTATGGTCTTCGTTCCATAGGAAAGTTGACTTCTGGTTTAAAAGAGGTCTTAAAGGACTTCCAAGGGATGTTTATTTCGGTACAAATTTGATGTATTGGTTAGTTGATCCGAAGAACGATCCTAATTCTTTTAAATTTTGGGATATCTTTGATCGCTTTAGTTTTGTGAATTAAGGGAGCAATTCCTGATTTCGATATTTTAAAACCAAGCCATTCAATTTCTTTATGGAAGAATTTGCATTTTGCCCATTTAACTGCAAAGTTGTAACTATCTAGAGTATATAAAATTTTGTAAACACTTTTCTTGTGGTCGTTAAAACTTCCTTTGGAAGCGACTAAAATGTTATCGAGGTGACAATTAGTAAAAGGAATTCTTCCAAGTGTTGAGTCCAAGACTCTTTGAAATTCATTTGAATTATCGCCGAGTCCATAAAAACCAGTTAAGAACTAATTTAAGCCGGTTATATCTCCACCTACCAGGCTAAAATTGCATTGGCTGCTAGTAAAATTGTCCAGAGAAAGTTGACTGTGTGCATTTTTTAAATCTAAGCTGGTAAACCACACTTCTCCGTCGGAAACGTTTGAACTTTGTGATGCTAAAATGCCGACTATTTCTTGAATATTGGGCAACTGGTATTTGTTTTATAAATTTGTTTATTAATGAGTTTTGAATCCAAGGCTAACTTTATCGATTTGTCCTTTTTACAAGTGATAACTATCGGACTAATAAATGTGTCCTCGTCACAGCTTACTAATTTTTTAATATGCCCATCGGATTTGAGTCTGTTTAATTCTGTTTTTACTGAGTCCAGTAAGTGTAATGGAACGCGTCTGCCTTTTAGTTGAATTGGTTTTTAGCGGTTCATGGAAGTGCGTTATTTTTGTTTGGTTTTTTATTTTTCCGATCCGAAGGAATAACTGTTTGAAAGTCTTGGATATCATGTCTAGTTTATTCTTTTTGTCAATTGATAAAATTAAATTGATAGATTTACAAGTATTCTTGTTGGTGTAGAGTGGAAAATGTTTTTGGAATACTTCTATTCCCACTTTTGGCAAATTGTCATTTCCCAGGATGTTTTTTTCGTGTCCTTTTGTTAAGAAGAAATGGCATTCCCTGTGCGACCATCCACTTGAGAAAAAAGGTAAGATTACCTTTCCAGTGATATTGATTGCATTATCAGTAAATCCACAGTAGATTTCTTTAGTGGCCTGATCCAGTGGATAAATCTTCACATAGGGGTCTCGTAACTTCAATTCGTGTGAGACGTTTTGCTTAAGGAAACTCACAGGGCTAGCTGAATCCAGTTGGATATTAAGAATCACTTGATTTTCTTTTCATAGGCCGATGTTTAGTAATTTCTTCAATTCTTTTCTTTGGTTGCCGCAGATAGTTGTCACATTTAATACAGAGTAATTATCGTTATCACTCTGTCCGGACTCCGACCATGCGTTGATTACTCCACAACATTCTCTATCTACACGGTCGTTATTTACATGCGGTTGTTCCGAAGGATAATTACACTCTGTATTATGTACATTTTGGCTATCCACAATATTCACATTTTTCGGCCTGATTTACAAAGTCTGGTAAAATGTCCTCGATATTTACAAGATGTACAAGTTGTATCTTTTGCGGGGCATACTGTCAGATGTCCTTTGGAGAAAGTTCGGCCGCATTTCATGCAAGTGTTGTTCCTTTCAATGTTTAGGGTAGGTTCTGTTTCTACATTAAAATGATTAAAAGATTTTTTGGAGGAATATCCGTTGAATTTAAAAGTACTCGTCATTTTCATGTGGTTCGTTATTCCCTTTTTGTCGATCAAGGCCACATTTAATGCTTCTAGGGGAGGTAAAGTTTCCGTGAGGAGTTTACGTTGCATGTCTGAGTTCTTCATATTATTGATAAAAACACTTTTGGCCAAATATTTTCTTTCTTTCGTTTCCAAGGGCAAAATAGAGTATGGACCTGAGTTTCTTGTCTACCTATTTTAGTCTCATGCCGTTGAATTTCTTAGTTTCTGACTTTATTGAAGCCATTTCTTCATCATCGTACCTCTTTCGTTCACGGATTTTCCTTTCTAAACGAGATGTTTTTTGAGAATCGGCTTCGTTTTTCGGTGGATTTTCTAGTGCTGGTGGAAGTGGATGATATCGTTCCGTTGGATTTAGGAGATTTTCGATATCGATTTTTTTTTGCGATTATTGCTAGTTGAAATAAGTCGCTCCATTCCTCCCAGGGAATTGGTGGAACCACCGTGTGATTTTGCCAAAGTGAAGGTATACCTCTCACGTTTGATTCTTGATTCGTTACTGTTTGACTGCGCCATGATAAAATAATTCTTTGTTACAGCTAATTCTACTTATATACAGATAAAACGTGCTTAAAAAGTGAATTAATCTCAAAGTTAAAACATTAAAAAGTGAGAGAGCACCGCCGGATAGAATGAGCATATCAAGTTCAAAGCTAAACTAACCAGTTAGAGTAATTTACGGATTAATTAAATGACTAAGAATAGAATGGTATGATTCACAACGGTTAGACATAAGCCTCGAATTAGTAAGATTTACAAAATTAGAAATGAGCCTCGAATTAGTAAAATCCACGCTTGAGATTCGAACCTTCCACCTATATCTTAACCACTCCAAATAATTTCTAATATTTCGATATTTCCAAATAAGAGGACACTTTTAATTCGCGAGTTAGATTAGAAAAAAAGAAGATTCGTTATATTACACTAAGCTGATTGCTATTGTAATAATAATATACAAAGCTGAACGATAGTGCAATAACCTTGCTCCGATCCTCACTTCCTCCGCCCAAAGTAACCTTACACTCCCGACTTAACCCTTTCCCCCCGACGGTAATGCCGCCCCCATTCCTTTGGTGCCCTCCCCTTATTCCCCTCAAATCCACGACTTTAATCTCTATTTCCCCAATGTGCAGCACCCCCCCCCCCTCAAAGTTGTTGAACCCATTCCTCCCAGCCATCCAGGAATACAACGAAATGTGCTGTATACGGAACTGGGGGGAGGGGGCTAAAAAGGGGCTAAAAAATCTCGTATTTGCTTCAACTACACACAGGTGGAGGGATGGTGTTATTTGGAGAATGGGAGGATAAGTAAAAGTCAGAAAAAAACTAAGAACCTAATTATGTTAATTGAAAACGTAACAAAAAAGTTACAAAAATGACTAACTATTGAAGACACGAAGAAAAAAATCAAAATTTAGTAACGAACGACTCTGTGACGAACTTTAAAACGTGCGAACACTTACCCGCATGGTGTCTTTTCGGTTATACCCTCCCTACCTACCTCCCCCCCCCCCCCCCCCTCCTAAATCTCTAAATAATGAAAACTGAAATTGGAAGTTTTGTATTACAAGAAAACTGAATCTAGTTATACAAAACTAGATTGATATTACAAGAAAATGCAAGATACTAAAACTAAACTGGTAAACCGGTCAAAAAGAAGTATTTTACCTAATTTACCCTCAAGCTGATTTTTTTTCTACTTTTTGCCGTTTTCTGCCCATAAATTTCATAATAAGAATGTCAAAAGCATTTTTACTTGGTTTCAAAATCAAATAAAATCAGTTTTTGAAATTGTACTCCTGTTCGGCAAAGCTTCGCCTATAACTTTGGCGGTTGAAACAGTAAAATAGTAACAGCGTGGGAATTGCTTAAAGGAGGGAACTCATCCACCGAAAAAGAACGACACTGATCAAAAGTTAGTCCGACCCCACATTGATCAGTAATCCTATGAATGCTTTGTGACGCAATAAAGTTTACACCCAAAAAGTAATCAGAAAAAATGTGAACATCTTTTCTTTTTTGGTAAGGCTCATCTTGAATATATCGGCTAATAAGAGCAATTTTTGCCATGATTAACCAGTTTAACGATCACCATTTCAAAATAAAAGGTGAGTTTGAAAAAAAAGACAACCTGGAAAATGCTGATGACTAATTGGCACAAAATGAACGCTTTCAACCAAGTGAACTATCCTCCTCCCTCAATTGATTTAGGGGAAAACTGTTCACTTGATCTAAGATCTGAAACAAAAATGCGGGATACCATACGGCGCACAAGAGATGTTAAGTTGGTCTTAAATGTGGCGAATAAGTCGTACAAAACACACTTGCCCCGTCTTCGGCTTCTGTGGCGGCACAAATCTGAGGTGTCTTCTTACTCATGTCCAAATACTCTAAGATCTTGTACTCCAATTGACAGTTCTCATTTACAAAAGTGTCATTTATTTCAAAGTAGTCCCATTGTTTTAACTGAAGCTGTTTTTGAAAATTAGCTGCAGCTGTGTCCGACCTCCATGTTTCGCCCTGTGAAGTCTTCAATTTGGTATAATAACCAGCACCGATAAACACAATTAATATTAATATAAAGTTGAAACCAATCGAAATTGAATAAAATCGGTTTCTGAATCGGCTTCCGAAGTTCATCGTGAAACTTTTCCGCCGTTTTGAAGGCAAAGTTTGACAATGAAAAAATTATGAAACCAAAATTGGGAATATCTAATTTATGGTTTTCGCCAACTGTTTAGTTTTAATTACCAGCTGGATCACTTTTTGACACTGCAATGGCAAAAATGGATAGTAAAAAAAAGCGTTGCCAGTTTCTCAGCAATAGTTTCACATTGTTACAAATATTGTAGAAAGTGACAGAACAATTGTACTTGGGATGGTTTTTTTTTCTCGAGACAAAACTCGAAGTTTTAACTAGCCCTTTTTGATGTTTTTTTAAAAATCTATTTATAAAACTTCCAAGCTAACCCGCACTGAAGTTTTATGCTTAAAACATGGATTATATTGGATTTACATTTTGTATCCATAAAAATCTAAAACAATCGAGTATAATTCATTCAAAATTAATTAAAATTTTTTTCAAGTCAACAAAAATTCATTTTAATCGGTTGTCATCGATTATAATGGATTATAATAGTTTTTTTTTATAAAATTTTTATACTTATTTTTTGAAAAAAGGCAAAGGTGAGCTTTACTCTAGCTAACAAAATGGTTAAGTGATTTCCAATTTTTCGATTTTTAATTATTTTAACATTTTCGCTATTTCTGCTGGCCGTTATATTATAGAGCCATTTTATCCAGATTTATCTTTCCCGTCCCTCTTTCCCTCCTTATCCCCCGCATATGTGTAGCCCCAACCCCTTAGCCACCCCCCTGGTTAAGACCGCCTCTCCCACATTTACGGTGAGGGGTTTGTTGCAGGTAACTGAAGGGGATGGGGATAAAGGTGGTGCGAGTAATTGGCGTTTGTGGGGTCTAAGGGGGTTGGGGTTGGGGTAAAATAAGGGAGTGGGTTAGTAAACTGGGAGTGAGGGAGGGGAAACGTGGGGGAGTGGGGCCGGCTCAATGCTTTTAAAGTTTTTGCGTAAAGTTTTCTTCTAACAAAAGGTCATGTGGCGTGAAAGGGGCCGTGGCGGTGTAAAAGTAGGGGCGGATTTCAAAGGACGGGGGATATGAACATGTTTGTTCGGGTTCCAGTTTTGCAGAGCGCTGCAAAAATTAGAGTAAACATATCACATCAAAACAAATTGATTTGCATGATTTTTTGAATAAAAATGATCGTTTATTAATAAAACAAAACAGGGGCGCATCTAGGATTTTCTCGAGGGGGGGGGGGGGGGGCGGAATTTCAAAAAAAATTTCGAAAATTTTGTCGACCTTCTTTTTCCTTTTTTTTAGGTCAGCCAAATTGATTTTTCCAGCTCTTCCAAAGCACTGTTTTTATTTTGGCCAAATTTTCTGCGCCGCAGGCAACATTTTTAAAACAGGCCAAAAAAGGCGTTTTTAGGCACTTTTTGGGGAAAATTTTGACCGAAAAAAATTGCGTTTTTTCGGCGCGCGCTCCCCGCTCAAAATTAGTATATATTGGCGCCGAAGGCGCCCTTATAAAAATTTTATGGTAGGTCGCGCCCAAAACTGGATTCCTTAGGGTCGGCAGGGGGTCGAATCCCTGAGAGGGGAGCATCCGTTCCCCCCGCCCCCCTCTAAATCCGCCCCTTAAACAAAACAAATATGGGTTTTAAAAAACTATAATGGACTCTAATGGATTTTAAAAAAATAGATTAAAATCCCCTTAAAACCCGTTCTCATGTTGAATGGGTCATCAGAATTGATTATAATGTAAAAAATTTTTAGCCTATATAAACCATTAAAATTATTGCCCATGAAACTCTAAATTTGGCCAATAATTTATATCAACAGACATAACAAAAATCAAAAATCCATTCAGAGAAATTGCTCATACTGAGATCATGTTTAGAATTCGAAACGAATTATGTTTTTCAATTCAAAACCAATTATAATTTGTTCAAATTGCTGCAAGAATTTCTGCGTTAATCAAAAAAGTTATGCGGAATCTTTGCAAAGCGAGGGTATGGCCTACCTAATTTCTAATTCTATTTTTCTCAAATTGCAAAACAAATCCGTTAACTTCTCCCCTCCCCCTAATGTTTTAACCTTTGCCCCCTTACAACCCTTCTCACCCCAACGGTTGGCCTTTTGTCCCCCAAAACTGAACCAACCCGGTAGAGGGAGGTGGTTCAGTTGCGGAGGGGCGCAAAGAGGCAAAATTCAAAAAAATTGCGTAACATAAAAACACTTACAAAAACCAATGTTGCACAGAAAAAATTAACCCCGAGAATTAACCAACTTAAAACATAGTTTAAAACGTAGAAAACACTTAATTTGCGTTGAATTTCGCATCCCAATAAACTGGGGAAAAATATTATTATGTAGTTTCATTTTCTTTATCTATAAGAGTAAAAATTAATTGATTATAATTGATTTGCAATAGATTGTGATGCTTTATTGAATAAAAGCAATATCACCAAGCAATAATCAATTATTTTTCACTTTGTTAGACACTGACAATAAAACTTAACAGTAAATCGATTTTTTATCCATGGAATTTCAGTGCGAATAGTCGGTAGGACATCCACTTCAACCTGCAGAAAGTTATTTACTGTTTTATTATAAGATAAAGGTTATAAAAAACCACAAAATGTTTGTTAGAATCTATTTTTAAATAATTTTGTCAAAATTTTGCTGTTTAAACTGAAAAATATTGAAACTATCTAAGATATGTATATAATTCAATTTTATTTTATCATTATTCATCCTTTTTTTTGTCACTGCAGGTGATTCTAGTGTAGTCAATTGTCATAAAGCTATACTCTTAATGAACAAAAACAATCTTTTTATATTATAGCAGCACGAAACAATATCTATGAAAAATAGCACGACAAAAATGCAATGACAAAAACGTAATTTTGTTTGACAAAAAGATTTGATTTTTCTAAAACGCAAAATAACTATGCTAAACAAAACGGATCAGAGACGTAAACGAAAAATGAAACCAAATCAGACAATCAAAGCATTTTTCATTAAGATGTTCCATATGCGTCAATGCAATAACTCAAAGATACTTTTTTATTCTGCAAATTTGATTATTATCAAAACTGCCCCCTCCTCCAAATCCGTCTGATTCACCTGATGGTCGGAGCTATCTTGAAAGATGCTCGGAATGAAAAGGAGACTGCACCGTCTGCGCCTAGCTTAGCGGCTAGAAAAAAGTATAAGCATTTAAAAATTTCAGAAAATAATTATAACTAGAGAAGTTTTCAACGAAATTGGAAAAACAGTACCGGGAGCCAGGGGCGGATCTAGGATTTTCTCGAGGGAGGGGGGGGGCGGATTTTTAGAAAATTTTCGAAAAATTTGACGACCTTTTTTTCGAAAATTGATTTTCCGAATTGTCCTAAAGCACTAAAAAGACGCTGTTTTGGCAAAATTGATTTTCCGAGCTCTCCTAAAGCACTAAAAAGACGCTGTTTTGGCCAAATTTTCTGCGCCACATGCAAACTTTTGAAAAAAAAGATCAAAAAAGTCGTTTTTATGCACTTTTTGGAAAATTTTGACGACAAAATCGCGTTTTTTTTGGCGAGCGCTTCCCCTCAAAGTTAGTATATATAAGCGCCAAAGGCGCTATTAAAAAAATTTAGGTTCGGTCGGCCAAAATGGATTTCTTAAAAAGTACCGAAGGGTGACCCTTTGGGTCGGCAGGGAGTCGAATCCCTGAGAGAGGGGGCATCCGCTCCCCAATCCGCCCCTGAAACAAAACAAATATGGGTTTTAAACAATTATCCTTTTGGTTATAACTCATAAAGTAATTTCAGATAAGGTACACCGTCTGCTCGTCACGCTATCATATTTTCGGCCGGATAGATTCGTGCAACTTCTTAGTCTAATACCAATCTTAATCTTACTCTTTTATCTCCTAGTCTCAATAGATTTAGTGTACACCGGTTTGCGCGAGTTAGTTCCAGAATGAGAACAACTTTATTCTAAGTTTAATTCAAATTATTCTGGTGTTGAAATCACAAGTAGTTTCAACACTTACAAATAAGTAGGTTGTTAGTTTGATGGAGTATGATTGGTTAGTAATTATCATTTTCTAGAGATAAAATATCATAATAAGAACCAATGATAAATACTAGTTTAGATCTGGTTCCATCCATCCGGGGTTTAGAGAGTTTTAGTTTTTCAATGTTGTATTGTAGTGTAGGATGAAAGATGCTATTTTTCTTTAGAGGTTGCGAGCATATTGTTTTTTCTGGTTTGGAAGAAGAGATGTTATCACGATAGTTTCGGGAGATCGTATTATGATTTCTGATCGGTTGTGACGAGTGTAGATCTGGTTGACTTTAGAGAATAGGAATGGTCTAATCACATTCGAGAGTGTCGTGTAGTTCGACTTTGGATGCAGTGCCTGGTGAGTTGGATCTGTACGTATACTTGAACATCGAGATGGCCATTGTTTTGTTGCAATGGGTTTCCTTTGCTGCGATGCCAAGTCGTACTTTAAATCCGTTGAGTGTAGTGATTGTAGGCAGCATATCGGTTTTTTTTTGCCATTTCGTAGTTGGAGTGTGATCAGTTTGTCTCAAATTCCTTGCTGCTCGTCTTTGGGCTGTATGTAATCTATATACTACATTGTATTATTTACATATACAAATCTTTGTTAATTTTGTTTTTAGTTATGTTCTTGTATTAATGTTTTATCGCAAAAGCGTTCTTGTTTAGTTCGGTTATTTTTAAGAGAATATTTTATCCAGTTCTAAACTTGTTTTAATCCGGTTTGGGTACTGTGTGTTTTCTTTTCTTAGTCATGCTGTTAGGTTGTGGTTTGTGGTGTTTAGTAAGCTTGCGTTGGTTAGTTTGGATTATTAAATAATTCCTTTCCAACCGGGTCAAAGGAAAGTTTAAAATGTGTTGAAACTGGTTAGAGTTGTTATCATTGAAAGTTAAAAGTTAAGTGCAATATTTTAAACAATTCTTCGTGGGCGAGCTGTGCGATTGTGGATATGATTGTGGGCGAGTGAATATTTAAAACTACAAAGAAGCGTCTTTGAAAAGGTTAGTACTGCTTTAATTTTATAAGCAAGTTTTAATAATTTACTACTTTAAAATTATTAATTTTACGAGTTTATTTGGGGGGTTGAAATTATCAATTTATTTTCATTTTAAGAATACTTACTGCATATGGGAAAAGATTTCATATATCATTTTTTTGCTGTTTCTGGGGTAAATTTTACTGCTTCATTTATTGTAATTGGTTAATCTAAACTTATGAAGGATTCTAGAAAAAAGTTTGCTGTTTTTCGTTTCGCTTTTCTTTTTTGTAGATGATTGATGGTCGTGCCTGTGAAGACTAAAGAAAAAGAGAAAACATTTATCAAGAATGGTTAGTTTTGTTTCGAATTTATTAGAATAATTTATTTAATTCGTACTTACCTTATTCGTCGGGGAAAAATATATGGGTAAAATTGTCGTAGATTATTTCTGATGATGTTTTTACTTTAGCTAGTAAGCGAATGATGTATTTAGTTTGGAGAAGTGGCCAAAGCAATTCGAGTGTGGTCGGGTTATTCTTTGGTTTTTTGACAAGTAGGTTGGGTTTAAACAGTTATTGGTGAGGGGAAGTTTGGATGGCTATTAAGGGACTTCCTAATTTTGATTTTATTCATCGGATGATCGGGGGTATTTGAGAGTTATTTGTAATTTAGGCTAAATGATCATGTCGATTTTGTTCTTAAGGCTAATTGAATATTTGCATGAGGGTATTTCGAGGTCTAGGCTGGGACAATATTGTTGATTTTCGTTCTAGTTAATAACCGATGGTCGAAATATTGAGATTTTGTTTATTTCAGTCGTCAAAATTGAGCAGGTTGCTTATTTTTGACCTGGAGGTCTTAAAGTTATAAGTAGAGATACACTTGAAGGTGATTGTTTGTCGGCTATAGAAGTCGTGTCAAAAATAAGGTGATGAATCGCAAAGGTTCTTATTGGCTGAAGTTCAAGTGCTTTCCCGCATAAATTATGAGAAATAGTTCAGTCCATGAAAATATCTTCAAGAGGTGAAAATGTTAATTAATTTAAAGTGGTTTTTGAAATTCAACTTTCTTTAATATTTTAGATTGCTGGATGACTGTTTTGTAATCTTTTCGTGGCTGATTACGAAGTCGCGATGATTGTCTATGTGGAGTTTTGGTTTTTGATCTTGGGCTATAATTTGTTCTTCTAATTTTCGATTTTTTTTCTGTTTGAGTGATTTTTTTGTTGTCTAAATTTTTTTTGATATTTGTTTGGGAAGTTCTTTGTCCTTTTTATCTAATTGTTTTTGAATGGGGTACATATCAGTGCTTTGATTTTGATGTTGTGCTGAGCTATTTTGAATAACTTTAAGTCCTGTAAAAGAGTATAAATGAGTAAGTTCTCGAAGAGCGTACTCTTTCGGGTAATAAGGTAAAAGGTTGTTTCGATGTTGAACGATTTCTAATTTGTTTAAGTCTGTAAATTTATATGTTACATCAGTGGATTTTTCAATTATTTGATACGGTCCTTTTTGGAGTGGTTGTAATTGTTTAGAAATTCTTTTTTTTGTGCTGTAAAATTTGGAATTAAAATATTCCAATTTTTAAATTTGTAGCTGGGTAAAATCGGGAATTTATTTGGGAATTAATTTTTTGTCTTTGCTATAATTTTTTTGTTACTTTCTGGTAAATTTCGTTGTGATTTTTGGCTGGATTTAAAACCCATTCAGTGTGTGTATCAGAAGCTAATTTTAAAATTTGTGGATGCTGAAAGTGTGCAGCATCGTGGGTATGTAGTGGTAGATTAAAACATATTGATTCTTTAGTGGGTTGACAATAAACTTGTGTATTTTTGTTTAATTGGCATGTTAAGCAACCCTAGCATAAAAATAAATAGTTGTCCATATGTTCGGTGGAGGTTGCAGTGCGTGTTTAACGGGGAGCAAGGTACTGCTACGCTCAAACTCTGTTAGTATACAATTTTTTTTTCACTTTGCGGTTTCTTTTTTTTCAATATTTTGAAATCTTAAAAAATTTCTCCCTAGCGCAATTTAAAATGTATTCATCTAACTTTTTATCCTACTCATAGTCAATAGTCATCTCTAGGGCTCAACGTTCTTAAAGTTTTGATTTTTTGACCCTAGTTTTGAAAAAATTGGAAAAGTATGCCCAAATTCCTTGTTTTTTGGTGGATTTCAAAGATTCGGGTTGGGGCGCGAATTTTTCTCATATTGATGTTCTGGGGCTGCTTTTATTTACTAATCTGGGTCTTATTGGCTAGGTCTTAGGTCTCACAAAATAAGATTTCACGATTTTTTTGAAAAAGTTGAAAAATTTGACCTACAAAGACCATTAAAAGTTGTGCCATTTTTGGCCTGTTTTTCGAGGGTTTTTCGTGCAATTTGTGTCTTAAACTTTTTTTTTGTGCTCAAAATGGTGTCTTAAATTTACGGACAACCATTGTCGGAGTGTCTGTTTTTTAATTTGTGTCAATTTTTAAATTCAGTTTTTTGGTACTTGCGTTTGAAATTTTGAAAATCGTTTCCTAATAATTTGTTTTTGTTTGTTAATAATTTTCTTTCTTTGTGTTTGTCTTCTTGTTCTTGTGTATCCTATTTTTAGTCTGTGTGTTCTGGTCATATTTTTTGTCGTTAATTAAACAATTCTGTTTTATGATTGTTTGTTTGTTTCCCAAATTGTC